AGGAGGTGGCGTCGGCGAGGGCGGCCCGCGGCCTCCGGACCGACGGTTCTCGATGTTTCTTCGGTGCGCCGCCGCCTGGCGCGCTCGACCCTTCTCCAGTGCCAGCTTGCGTATGTTCTTTTTTTTGTGTTATCATGTTATGTGCTATGCATGCCTATGTACACACCTACTTACAATCAGTCGCACATACTTACACACAAACATACATATATACACATACGCACACACAAACATACTTACAAACATGCATGCATGCATGCATGCATGCATGCACGCATACACACATACACATACAACCGTACACACAGCCACTCTTAGATACATACGCACGTGCGTACATACCTACATACACATACATACAATCATACATACACACATACACATACATACATACACACATACACGCATACATCCATCCATACATACATACATACAAGCATATATACATACATGCACACATACAGACATACACACATACATACATACATACACACCTACGTAAACACATCCATCCATCCATCCATCCATCCATCCATACATACACACATACATACACACATACATGCATGCGTGCATACATACATACATACCTACATACATACATACATGCATACATACATACATACATTCATACATTCATACACACACATGCATACATACATACATACAAACATACATACATACATGCATGCGTACGTAAATACATATTTCCATGTATGCATACATGTACCTGTATCCATGTTTATACCAAACCATATAATGATGTAACCGTGCACCCTTCTATATATCGTATTATACATCCATCTGGGGCGATGTGTATGTGTTTATATACATAGAATGAAGACTCTCTCTCTCTCTCTCTCTTTCTCTCTTCACATATATATATATATATATATATATATATTCATATGCATATGCATACGCACCGTGGTACAGGGTCGGGGCCTCCCGGTGAGCAGCCCCGACAGCGCATGGGAGACCCGGCCGTCCGAATCCCTCTCCCCAGCGGCCCCTGGAGGCGCCCTGGTCGGCCCCAAGACGGGCCCATGGAAGCCCCTGGACGGGCCTCGACTAGACGTAAGAGTGACCTTTCGCAGAAGTGACCTTTGGTGCGGGCACAGACGGGTCCCCAGACGGCTGAAAACGAAGCAATAGCAGTTGCCTGCGCGCCCAGGTTTGGTCCCCCCGCGGCCCCCAAAAAGCCGCGCACCAAAGGTCACTCTTACCCAGGATCACTCTTGCGTATAGCCGAGGGCCCCGCGCGATACAGGATGGTACCCACTCGCTGAAGGAGCGATCCGAGACTCCCGAGACAGCCAACAGGAGACGCCCGAGTATCCCCTCCAAACACCCTCCAGGCCTCCCATATGGGGTCGGGGTGGATGGGGTCGGAGGATCGCGCCTCATCGCCGGTGCATCGCCGATGCGGCTCGATGTGGAGCCCGAGTTGCTTCACGTTGACGTCCCCTGTGCATCGCCGACGTATCGCCGATGCATCGCCGACGCATCGCCGATGCGGCGATGCATTGGCGATGCGGCGCGATCCTGGGACCCCAGCTGCTCGGACCCCATCTATAGGAGGCCTGTAGAGACGGCCAAGAGACGCCCGAAACTGCCGCCCAAACACCCCCAAAATCGGAGGTTGATAGACCTCCTACCCTGACACGTCGATTAGTGAATTGGCCGTTTTCGGTTCGCGAGAGGGTGTCACGGCCGTTATTTTTGCGGGTCCATGTCCGTCGGTTTCGGTCTTAGGCCGTTTTCACTAAAGGGTGGTCTATTAAATGGTGGTTTGTTCACCGCTGACAGAATGCGTCCAAGACCTTCTCTACAGGGCCCCGAGGGCTCAGTTTCGTGTATCCTACCAAGGTTTTGGAAGGTTCTTCGCGGGAGGCTTCAAGGAGGCCCCAAGAAGCTTTCAGGGAGCTTCCAATATGCGCACTTTGACGCCCCAAGGGGGCCCTTAGAGGCTCCCGAGGACCCCAAGGCGCCCCCAAGGGGCCCCCATGGGCCCCCAAGGGCCCCCACGAGGTAATTTACAGGGCCCGAAGATGGGCCCAAGAGCAGAACTCGATCTGCCATTTCGACCCCTCCGCCGCACGATCGCCCCCTTGGTCGCCAACAGGTCCCCACGAGGCCACCCGAAGGGCCTCGAGAGGCCCCCGAGGCCTCTTGGGGCTCGTTGGGGGCTGTGTTGGGAGCCCTTGGGGCCGTCCTGGGGCCATCTCGGAGGCCCCTTGGGAGATCTTGGGGCAGTCTTGGGAGCCTCTTGGACCGTCGTGGGCCGTTGGAATGCAGACAACAAGCACGTGCCACAAAATAAGGAAAACACATGATTTTGGCCTCACCAGGGCCTTCTGAAGATCTCTTGGAGGCCTCTTGCGCCGTCTTGGAGGCCTCTTGGAGGCTTCGGGGGCCGTCTTGAGCCGTCTCGCAGGCTTCTTGGACGAATTTGGAAGCATCTTGGACTCTCTGGGGCCGTCTTGTAGACCACCTTGCA